CGTAAATGTATTCATAACACCGAAAGTGCATCAGTTACCATAAAAAGGTTTATTGGATATTTTCTTTCAATATACGCACCGCTTCTGTAGTTAACAGATATTATATTCAGTGCGTAACATAGAGGTTCATTCCATTCTTTCATTATTTGGGTAGGTTATTGATGTACATATTAATCCTATATCCTATTTGCGCCTACAGATATATGTTATCGGATGCACCCAGCACACGCATCAACTAGTCTACGTTTTATTGAGTCTTTTTATTGTACATACGAGGAAACATTCCCAAGTGTCAAGTTGCTTTTGAGTTGCGAGTATGAGCATAAGGTAGGCCCCAGTGAGATGTGAAAAATCCAAAAATGATAGGCGCCCTTAGGTCTTCTGTCCAGAGTTATAGACATTTTACTGAAATTGTAGCCTCTAGCATAGTAAATGCTAATAAATCGAATGGTGGTATTTCGACCTAAGATTTTGCCCACAGATAAGTCTAGTTGTGAGTAGGATACCCTGAAAATTTCAGCCCAAAAGAATGTTTCTTTCTCGAGATATTAAAGTTTCAAAAATCACTCATATATCACGGAAGATGCTAGAATTTTCTGTTTTTTGAGACTTTAATATTTCGGGAAGGAAACATTCTTTTGAGCTGAAATTTTCAGGGTATCCTACTCACAACTAGACCTATCTGTGGGCAAAATCTTAGGTCGAAATACCACTATTCGATTTATTGGTATTTATAATGCTAGAGGCTAAAATTTCAGTAAAATGCCTATAACTCTGGACAGAAGACCTAAGGGCACCTATCATTTTGAGGTTTTTCATATCTTACTGGGGTCTACCTTATGTTCTTACTCTCGACTCAAAAGCGATTTGACACTTGGGAATGTTCCCTCGTTAGATTCTGCCCAGTCGACGTGTTAGAAGTGTTCTTCGAACTATTGAGAAAATTATACATTGATTTAACTATTTTCGCTTCCGTATAAGCCATTAATATTCAGTTCTAGCTTGATTTTTCAATCTGTCTTTTTTCAGTTTTGCACCAAAAGACACCAATCCAAAGCCTTTCATTAATCGTCATAACTGATACTCAAAGCATTAAACAGAACTATTTTTTTATTTAGGTTCGATCCAACAGCTTTTCGACATGTGATTATCACATTAAAATATAAACTATTTTTTTTTTATTTAAGTTCCATTCAACAACTTATCAAAATGTAGGTATCAATTTAAAATATAAATGATTATTTTTTTTATGTAGGTTCGATTCAATAATGTATCAAAATGTAAGTATGAATTTAAAATATAAATTTTTCTTTCTTTTTTATTTAGGTTCAATTCGACAATTTACCGAAATGTAAGTATCAATTTAAAATATAAATGATTATTTTTTATTTAGATACGATTCAACAATCTATTGAAATGTAAGTATGAATTTAAAATATAAATTATTATTTGTTTTTTATTTAGGTTCAATTCAACA